CTCTTATTCTCGCACCTTCTATGTTCTCTTTGTACTTTTTCAGTCGTGGAAGATGTCCTACATGATAGTAGACCACCAGAATCCTTCTGGTATCCGCCACTCAGTCCACTGTTTCCTGCACCCCATCTTTCCTAGTGGCTCTGCCTTTCTCTAAACCCATGTGAAGTAGACAGCCACTTAAGTGGCCCCTGAGGGTGCTTTTGCTTTGTGCTTGTGTACAAAGACCCTCTGACATGACTCTGACAGCCACCAAGATGGTCAAACTAAAGAGCTGCTGGAAACTAAAATCTGTGCAGTCATGGCATGAGGGTCTGCTCACACCTATTTGGTGACAGATTCATGACTTAGAGAGACTTCAGGATCAGAGCTGTAAAGTAAAATGCAAATGTTAACATCCCAAGGTGAACACGTGGTCAGCTCATGGCATTACCCCTCCCTTGAAAGCTGACAGCCTGACTCTGGCACACTGGGACTCTGCCCCAAAATCACTAGCTTGTTTTGGTCCTGCCTGCTTTCTGCTCACTGTACCACAACCTTCAGTGGCTCACCTCTGCCTCTTCCTTTTCTTTATTGGCTTTAAGACTAAGTCTTACTATGTAGCCCAGGCTGGTCTTGAGTCTACACAGTCTTCCTGCCTCAGTCTCCCAAGTGCTGGGATTACAGATATGCCCCACTATGCTTTGGATCTCTATGGGCAACTTCCTGCCCTTTACCTGAAAATTCTGACATTACTGTCTATGCATCTCAACTACTAAAACTAGACATTAAGAAATAAATAGTCACAAGGGTGCTGGAGAGATGGCGTAGTGGTTAAGAGCATTGCTGCTCTTCCAGAGGACCTGGGTTTGATTCCCATCACCCATATGATAGCTTACAACTGTCTGTAACTCCTGTTCCAGGGGATCAAACGAACTCATACAGACATACCTGCAGGCAAAACACCAATGTACATAAAATAAAAATAAATTATTTTATTTTTGGAAAAAGAAGTACCCACATTATAACATGTATTTCTTTGACCAAAGGCTGCCAGAGGCTGCTGGGGCTAGGAGTGGAGAGTAGGCATGGGTAAAATAGGTGTGGCCATCAAGGGTACAAGAGATCCCTGTGGTGAGCATTCTGTGTGCTGACAGTAGCAGAGAACACACAGATGTACACCTACAGTAAGACAGAACAGAATTAAAAATACAGATGGGAGCATGGAAAAGCAGTGAAACCCAGGCAGGCATCATGGAGTGGACCGACATCAATGTGCCTGATGCTGTTCTCACTAAGCACAGGAGGAACCATCGCAGGAAGAAACAGACAGACACACAGCACCTGTCTGCATGCATGTCTGCAGCTTCCTGGAGATTCATAGTTACCTTCAAATGTTTAAAAAGAATGTTGGAAGGGGCTGGAAAGGTGGCTCAGCAGTTGGGAGCACTTGTGGCTCTTGCAGAGGACCTGGTCTCAGTTCCCAGTGCCCACAGGATGGCTCACAGCCATCTGTGACTCCAGTTCCCGGGGACCAGATGCCTTCTGACTTTCCAAGCAGTGCATGTGAGGGCACACAGCCAGGATACTCATACAAACAATACATCAATCTAAGAACTAAAAAGAATGCTGGAACTGGACACGGTGGCCCATGCCTGTAATCCCAGAACCAAGGAGGAGGCTAAAACAAGTCTGGAGGCCTGAGACAGACTAGATTACACAGCAAGAGCCTACAAAACAACAGAAAGTTGATAAATACCAGAAACCATCCCTCTTCAGAATTATTCATGTTGCTATACAACAGCACTTAACTTTCTTCTCACAGAAACCAAACAATTTTGTAATTCTGAAATTGGCAATCTTCTCAATATGCACGGTAAAATATTACCCTTTAAAACACTAGGAGTCCTGTGGACATGGAAAGGATGCTCACAAAATGTTAGTGCTGTCAGATTGATAACGTGCTTCCTAAGAGTCCTGCCATATTCATGACACTCTGAAGGAAGACCTCCCAGCAGAGACACTCAATCCACACACAGCGCCACAGATTGGCTGCTGCCAAGGGTGAAGTGCACATCATCAGTACAGAGGGTACCAGCTGAAGGGAAGCACTTTGGGGCAGTGGCAAATGACATCTCTGAGGTATCTCCAGTCATGCCTACTTGCTGCCAGTCAGAGAGCAGCTTGGCATAAAGACCTAAGCAACAGGTTTCTCCAAGAGCACAAAACTAGCTCAGGATGCCAATTCCACACAACTGGCCCCACTTCACTAAAGTCCCGACATGTAAGAGAAAAAGAGAACAGGAGAGAGACAGAGCAGAGGGAGCCCATAAAGCAGTAGGACCCCATTCAACAGGACTTTCTCCCTGCTGCAAAAACAACCACCACAGGAGCAAATGAAAACACTCTTTATATTTATCACTTTGTAGTTTATGACAGAAAACAAGCCAATCCTCCTGACTGCTGGCCATCCACTGTTGTCTTCATGTAAGATTTTGAAAGCTCAGCTTCCCTATCACAACCAACTCCATCACCAAGAACTGAAGGGGCCTGATTGGAAATAGTTTCCACACTTCCGCGAGTTCTCAAAATAGGTCCCTCTCTGTCTCTGTCTCTCTCTGTCTCTCTCTCTCTGTCTCTCTCTCTCTCTCTCTCTCTCTCTCTCTCTCTCTCTCTCACACACACACACACACACACACACACACAGAGAGACACACACGCCAACTGGAGAGAAAGGGAAGAGCTCTAGAGTTCTAGTGAGAACTAGACTGGTGTGCTGCAAATGAAATGGTTCACACCTGCAGGATAATTGTCCAGCAGGTCAACTGTCAATCTCTCCTGAATGCAACCCCATTGTACCAAAGGGGACTGCTCCCACCTAACCCTATCATGCCCTGATTAACTTTTTTTTTTCTTTTTTGGCTTTTCGAGACAGGGTTTCTCTGTGGCTTTGGAGCCTGTCCTGGAACTAGCTCTTGTAGACCAGGCTGGCCTCGAACTCACAGAGATCCGCCTGTCTCTGCCTCCCGAGTGCTAGGATTAAAGGCGTGCGCCACCACCACCCGGCCCTGATTAACTCTTTAACTCTTTAGACAGAAGGTAGTCACTTGAGAGCTCTCCACAAAACGTGAGAGCAGAAATCCATGTGAAGGCAGTGTTCCTGCAACAGCCCACTCGCAGAATGCCGGTGAGTGCGTAGTGCTGGCTGTGCAGGGCAGAGCTGGCTGAGAAGGTCCAGGACTCCACACCCTGGCATTAGGCTGATAACTATGCCCTCAGCCTCCATTCCTGGGAGCAGAGCCAAGGCATGAACTAGAAAACAATAAACCAAATTTCCTGGGGTAGGGGTAGGGATGACAACGTAGGTACTCTTCATGCACCTGACAGCACTGAGTACTGTTTACACTTTGGCACATGTTTCAGAGTGCGTGTCAATGTTCCACTACTGCAGACACACTGCATCAAGAACATGTGCTGGCATCTCTACTTAAGGAACACTGCTGCGATCACATACCAAAGGCGCTCAGCATCTTCAAGGAACTGACGAAGCACATACTTCATAAAAAGGCCCAAAACCAGGGACTGTCCCAGCTGATCTGTGCAATTATTGTGCACAGACGTTGGATGCTGAACTGTATCCACAATGACATGACTTCTGACTTTCACAGTGGTCATGCTGCCACATTTGCAGATTTCCATTGAAGTGGTTATGTTTGCAGTGATGGGTTTAAACCCAGGACTTATGTACTAATCAAGTACTCTACCGCTAAATTACATCATTAGCGAAACTAAGTTTGTTTGCTTGTTTCTTTTTCTCTGGCGGTGGCTCTAGAGGTCAAATTCACGGCTATGAACACTCATTCAATTTTATTAGACATACAAATTTTGACAACTGGAAAGAAACCTAAAAGGAGAAAAGGTAATTTAATCACATGCTTTTGGCCAAAAACATGAAAAGAATGTTAAGGGCATAAGCCTTGGCCTCCCAAGAGCATACGTGGTCAGGAATATAGACCATGGCCAACCTCAGACCTCCAGTGTCTTGTTGCAGAGCGCTATTTGCTGAGCTGACAGCCATCACCATCATCAGGACAGCTGTGATCACGTGCAGGAGCCTCAACCTGCTGACCTCCTTCAGAGACAGTGAGGTGGGGATGGTTACTGGACCCTCACTAGAGACACCTGCTCCCCCTGCACCTCCCGGCCATGCATATGCAATTCTGCCTTAACAGGGAGTCTCCGGGGAGCTGGAATATTAACTGTAGGAGGTTAACTGAAGAGGTGTCTTCATCTATGCAGCTGGGATGCAATATCCATGTTGGGGTAAGGCTTTCTGGGTGTGGCTGCTTTGGGGTCATTACGCTTCGATAGGTTGCCTTCCACCTATGCTCTTTAGGGAAGCAGTTCCCTGGGTAACACTGTGATGGAACTGTTTGTCATCATAAAAGTGTTTGCCCCATATAAGATGTTTGTTTATGTCTCCCCAGGGAAAGAGTTCTCACAACATCCCTGCATGCAACCAAGGCCTGGCCACCGTTCTGCTCCAGAGTCGGCAAGACACGGGCAATGCTCCTGTGTAATCCCCCAGTGTCTCCCCTCTCACTTGCCTCATGAGCGTGGCTCTGCTATTTAAAGGGTAATTTAGACTATTTGTCTAAAACATGACTTCACCAATCTGTCCCTGGGCTGACCCGCAGCTGCCACCCTAATGACTAGTCTGATTTAAGGGCTACGTCTTTCTACTAACACATGTGATGCATTAACACAGGCTAGCTCGCTGCAGAAGGAGCCCAGGACTTCAGCCATAATTCAGAGCCAGCACAGAAGACAGTCACCAGGAGATATACATCAAAGGGACTGTGGAACAAGAAAGACCCTGTTGGTTCAAGGTAGGCTTCCTTCAAGAAGGCCGTTATGCATTCATCAGTTCTGTCAACTGTGATTCTACAGAATCAACTGCTCTAGGAGCTCCCCACACTCAGTCAGAGCTGGGGACCCTTGAACATGTATCAGCAAACGCTTACCTGAGCACACCGACCCAGTTCTCTTCTATTCAGATACTGAAATATATTGATTGCCAATTCATAAGGCAGTTGGACGTCAAAGAAGGGCACATCATCCATCTCATTCTGTGGAAACAGAAGGAAGAGGTTGAGGGTGAGGCTGAGTGCAGCTTGCACTTCCAGACCTGTCCATCACTGGACACTCTTGTAAGTGACCAGAGCAGGGCCATTTCAGGGAGAGAAGCAGTGGGGTCACTATGAAAGCCACGTGACTATTTCCCATGATGCTCCGAAGGAGAAGCACGGGTGCTACAGGAGTGGGTGCCCAAGTGTCAGAAACCTCCTGTCAGAATTCTAAGGGAAGGTGAGGTGGCAGGTGCCCCGAAAGCCCACCTGGGCCAGGGGGCTGCCACTCCCCAAGGCCAAGCAAGCCTCCCCAACACGTGGGAACAGTGGCCCCAGCTGGAGAAGTGCTGACCAGGTCACTAGCATGTTTTCATGGGCAAAGAGCAGGGTGGAGGCTGCTCTGCTGGAGCCAGGCCCACCCCTCCTCGGGGTCTCTTAATGCTCTGGGGGCTCACGCCGGTGAACCTGAGCGAGCCAGTACAAACAAACTGCTTCTCCAAGTGTTGTTCATTAATGTGCATCAACAAAAGCCAGCCTGCCCTGGGGTAAGCAGTCGGAGATGAGGTAAGGGGCTCACGTGGAAAGCAAAGGTCATGTGGATCCCAGTGCACAAAGGAATCCGAAAATGGGGAAAGACCAAGTGTGACCTGAACAGGTCCTCCTGCCAGTCATGGCTATGGCCAAGCTGCAGTGTGTGCCCTCTGTCCCAACAGACCAAACTTGGGAAATTCATGTTTAGAAGCTCTGGCTGCCATCACTGACTTACTGCTGAAAGCAAGTTGCTAATCAGCGCTCACTACGAGTTTCCACAGCACGAGGTGGCCGCCTCAGAAGACAGCCTCCCTGCACGGAGGAGTGCAAGCACCAATCAGACTCCTCCAAGCCTGAAGTTCAAGAATGTTCAAGAATCATGTTACTATTCATCCAGGAGTCTCAGGACTGAAGGAGAATCTGGAGCCTAGGAGGAAACATGGTGTTTGATGGCAAAAACAGAGCGAGACTAAGCACACAGGCCAAAAATGCTCTCTGGGGAAAGGGCACTGACCAGTCTCTGCAGGAAGAGAAGGACAGAATGTTCAGTCAGTGGAAGGATGCTGGCCATGCAGAAAAACAGGAAAACATCTGCAAGGGTAATTGGGAGGCACTGGGCTCTGCCTAAGAAAACAAAGCAAAGTCACTGGGCCTCAAGTCAGGCAAGGTCCTCGCCTACAATGACACCTTCACTCACTACGGAAGAGCACTACTCCCGGCCAGATGCAGCCAGAGATACACCAACCTCCTGCAGGAATCACTGCTGGTCAGGACCTGGCAGACACACACAAACTGAGAAGCGATCATTCACAATGCTACTCCCCATGCCCTTCTTGCCTTTTCTTCTACATTATTTTGTCTGCAGAAGCAGAGAGGACCAACTCTGTCCACAAAGTAAAGAAACAAGAGAAAAATGTCCCCTTATGCTGATACAACCAGAGCTATGGCTGAGTGAGGCTGGGCAAGACAGGGTGAGCCAGGGCGAGGAGCTCGTTTGAGCTGTGGACTCCTTTACGGTAGGCCACACTGTAAACTGGTCTTGAGATGAACATGAGATGCCGCCTTTGCTTTTATTCTGGGCAGAATTCACAGCCTTCCATCAAATGCCTATTTTGTTGGCCTGTTTCCCAGGCTCACCATGGAAGACAGTCCCTCCATGAAAACATGACCCCACCTCCCACTGCCCTCCCTGATCTGAGCCTCTGTTGGGATGAGCAGAGTCTGGAGGCACCATGATCCCAAATGATCAGCCAAAAGGTACCTAAGATTTCTTTTAACAAACTCAGGGTGCCTGCCCAAGGAACACATGAAGAAATTTCCCATAGAAGCCAATGCAAGCCCTAGGGCTAAGCATGCAGAGGCTAGGTGCCACTTTCCTCAATGCCATGCCAGCTCCTTTTCATTTTCTCATGTTACTGACTTCCGAGTCACTCTTAGCTGGCCTGTTGGTGACTTGCTGCCCTTTAACTTGAAGCCAATACATTACCAGCAGTACGAGGACGACATGCAGAGTTAGGCTACATCCCATCAGCGGGGGATGACACACAGACAAGGCATCACCAACTCTAGAGGGCATCTAACAACTCAGGAAGGCTTTGCTGTGGTGCCTGGGTAGCAAAGATGAAACCCAGCAGGCTGCTAAGACCGCCAGTGCTGAGGGCCACTGCACTGTGAGTCACACTGTGCGAGGCTGTCTCTAGGATCTGGAGCCACTGTTTCAAGGATAAACTGTAAGAACACTGCAGAGCCAACCTTTCCTTTCAAATCACCATTCTTAGGAGTACCTCTAGACTCCAAAATGTCAATCAACAGTGCCCATTCAAACCAGTCTAAGTCCCCTCCCTCACTTCTATGTGGCTGAGCTTCCTGCTCCCACCACTGGTTAGGGAATGACAGGAAGAAAAGGAGGCCAGTCATCCAAAGAGCACCCAGCAGTTATGGCACATGCATGGCCACGGTCAGGAGACCACACCCTAAATGTTCATGCTGTGGCCTTTAGTGATGGGGCAGTGGGTCACTCAGATTCCCCCAAATAAGAGATTGGGTGCTGCCTGCTACTGGTTCACAGCTGAGTCCCCTACCACATGCCAGAGGGCCTGCCCCACCAAAGTGCCATCCCCTCCAGAACACATAGGCCTCTGGCCTCAATTCAGACCTCAGAATGGCCAGCCTACTAAGCCCACATGTGAATCTACACCTCAGAGTTGACTCCATTAAGCACAGCCTTCCCCTCCAAACAACCAATGAGGCCATAAAACCATGTGCTGAGTACAAGCATCCCCAAGAGTTCTAAGCATACAGTTGTACAGGCCGGTATAGAAATCTCCTTCTGATATCCACTGAGGTGATACAGGAGCATGCAGGTGAAGAGGGGGTGTTCTACCATCCAACCAGAGGCAACAGGGTAAGTGACTGGCCTATAAATGTCAGCTTGCTGTGTTAATAGCACACCACTTGAGAAACACCTCATCAGAGACTACATCATCAGTTTAGTCAACCCTGTGCGGACCTAAGGCAGACCTGAAGCCACACCCTGATCCAAGCTGTAGTCCAGCAAGCACTCCAAGCTCACAGCTGCTGCAGAGGTCTCCAGTGATGACATGCAGCCATTCCTCCCACTGCAGCTGCTGCAGAGGTCTCCTGTGATGACATGCAGCCATTCCTCCCACTGCAGCTGCTGCAGAGGTCTCCTGTGACGGCATGCAGCCATTCCTCTCACTGCAGCTGCTGCAGAGGTCTCCTGTGATGACATGCAGCCATTCCTCCCACAGTGCACAGTGAACGTAAGGACACTACTTGTGCTCGTGTGCAGAGAAAGCCCTGGATACTACGAAGATGCTGTCGAGCTGCCATCTAGAAACCTGGCACACACAGCCAGCCTATCAATTATAAGCCACAGCAGGATGACCCCATGACAAAGCAGACGACATGGCCATTCTGAGAAGCAGCAGCACAGAAACGCTGAAGTGACACTGTAAGAACATCAGTTGAGCAACAGTGACATCGCAGTTTGCCAAGCTCAGACTCTAGATTCCTCCTCCAGTCAAGGGAGGAGTCGCACAAAGGGGTTGTGTTATGCTCAGGTCAGTGAATGCTGATTTTCCCAAAGTCTACTGGACTCACTCCAAAAACACCGAAAGAAACTGTGAAGAGATCTGTCCCCAGGGAGGCTGATTGTCCCCCATGTGCTAATATAAGCCTGACTCCATAAATGGATGGTCTTTATGCCATCGTGTTAGAAACTGGATCTGCCTTCCCTTGTTTAGGAGAAGAAGGAGTAATTACTAGGAGCCAAATCAGCGCAGAGGGAAGAAACCAACTCTGGATGCACTTCCTAACAGTTATCTCTACAGCGACCGCCACTCAGACGCTCTCTAGGCTGGTGTTTAAACAGATCTTCACTGCTCCTACTGACCCTGGGATGGAGAGGCCTGTGTCTGCTGGGCTTATCTGAACCCACATACCACACAGTCCCATCACAGGAATGGATGGCATCCAATTTCACTTCTGGCTTGAGAAAATAAGGTGGTAGATGAGGAAAGTCTCAAATCACTCTCAAAATAGGCACCAATTCTGTCTTGAAATACCTTCCTGGCACAAATAACAGGAGTGTCAGTGTACACCACAGATTTCTTCTCGGGTTCCTAGACTATCTGTAAAGGGGCCACACCATCCAGCTTTAAAAAATAATTTATGTGCAAAATGCTGTCTGAATCCAGGGCCATGCCCAGGGCTGGGGGAAGGGAGGTGCTTTTAGCAAATGCATGAGAAATGGCCTCTACACTGAAGGAGTTGAATCTTTTATGGAGGTAAGTCATCGCATATAAAACAGAATAAATACAGGAGATAGTCCCCCAAGGTATACAAGGGCTCATTAGTAAGTCAGCTATTTAGAACTTAGGAATCCTTTCTCAAAATAATAATGATAATAATAAAATGCTATAAAGAGAGGTTAAGTTCCCCAAGCAGTCCACAAAAAGCCAATTTATCTCTTCAACTGAACCTAACCCCAAGTCGAGTCGAGCAGTGTTCAGTAAAGATGTGGGCTGTCTGCACAGACAACAGGCACCTACAGAAGCTAACCTGCCTGCCTCACATGTGCCCTCACCTGGTGAAGACACTGAGATTTATTTATTTAGAACTGGTTCCAAAACTGTGAGATACATTCTCATTCATCACCTACTGGCGATTTCCCCGGGGGCTCCAGCAAAGAAGGGAGGTAGAAGAGGCAGCTATGAACTTGGGACTCCCAGGAGGCTGGGTGGGTGTGGCAGTGAAGGAAGTCTGTGCAACACACTGGCCAGCCTCTGCTCACAAAGCTGTGGTTCCAAGCTGGGGTGGGAGACTGGGGAGCCAGGCAGGACAGAGGGCAGAAGAGGGCCTATTGGGAAGGGAGCTCAGCTTGGGAAGGGCTGGACTGAGCATGTGAATTTGATTGGTTAAAAGGCCCGGCAGACACGCCAAAGCAC